TGTGCTGCTGTGGGGGAGGGTGGAGGAAGAGGAGCCTCCTCCAGACAGGGCTGCTGGGGTGGCCGAGGAGGGCGGGACTCACCTTGGTCTTGCGGCTGGACTCGGAGCTCAGCCCGTGTGGGGAGCTGTAGAGCTCCTTGGACACCACGCACAGGAACTCTGCCTGGTCCTCACTGCCGTAGTTGTAGGAGGAGCCAATGTTTACCAGCTGGAGGGCGGGGCATGGGGAGAAAGACGCAGGTTGGGGTTGGGGGACAGTGGGGCGGGGCGAGGTGGACATCAGCACCATCAACACATCAGTTTATGTCCTGATCTTGCTGGCCTGCTCAGGTCCATTACCGAGTTGCCAGAGGGCACCTCTGGGCTAGAAGGCAGGGTTTTCTCTCCCTCCCCACCTATGCCTCTGGTCTGTTCCCAGGACCAGCCTCTCCACCCGGTTTGCCTGGACCCGACCACTGGAGGAGGGTGGCAGTATCACCACCTCCCCAGCCCAACCCCAGCCTAGCCCCAGATCCAGGCGGCCACTTTCTAAAAGCAGGCAGAGGCCTGTAATGGGCAGGCTCTGCCCCATCCCAGATGTGGCTGTAGCAGCCTTAGGGCCACGCTGCGGGGTGGGGTTGGCATGATGGAGCCCCAGTAGAATCTTCCCTTCTCAGGGCCTGCCCGTGGCTCACTTGGGAGAGTGTGGTACTGATAACACCAAGGCCACAGGTTCAGATCCCCTTACTGGTCAACTTTTTTTTTTTTAAAAAAAGAATATTCCCTTTTCTCTTGGAAGCAGAATAGGTTGCCCACTCCTTACTGGTCAACTTTTTTTTTTTTTAAAAAAAGAATATTCCCTTTTCTCTTGGAAGCAGAATAGGTTGCCCACTCCCTAGGCTAGAGGGCAAATGACCAGTGGACCCGACCTGCTCGCTCAGCCTCTGAGAGCCTGGGTAATTGCCAAAGACACCTGTAGGCTCTCAGAGCGATCCCACCTTTGTTCTGGGGTTCCTAGAATACACACACTCATGAGGCCCTTCTGGTAAAGTCCTTGCACTTGACGGGTCTCATTCAGCCCTCAGAGATCCTCATTCAGCAGGCAGAAAGAAGAATATTACAACCTTTGACAGAAGAGACTTGGAAAGGTGGTGGCCTGCTGGAGCCAGGAAGAGGCTAGAATCTAGGATCCTGAGTCCTTTCTACGGGGTCTTGTAGATTTAAATACTTCTAATAATTTGCATGACACTAGTGCCAATGTATGGAGACTACCCAGGGCTAGGAATTTTACTGATGGCCGTTCTGATTTCCACAACAGTCCTGCAAAAGAGGTACTATTAGCCCACATCACAGATGAGGAAACTGAGGCCCAGGGAGGAGACACAGCTTGCCCAAGGTTGCAAGCGTGTCAGCGGTGAGACCCAGAGGCGGAGCCAGTTCCTGGACTGGCTGGTTCTTCCATGCTGCCAGGCCATTCTCCGGAGCCCTGGCCTTCTCTCTTCTTCAGTCTCCACGTGCAAGGGAGCTTGTGGGTGGGTGTGGATAAAGTGCTAGCCAAACCCTTCTCTAAGAGCACATTTGACCTTGGGCTGACTATCTGGCTCTGTTCCTCTAGAACCCTGAGAGAGGTGAGATGCCAGCTGTATTCCTAGGGAACCACTGCTTATGAAAACAATCTCCTCACCGGTAAACTGTACCTGGACTGGGAGCAACTTTAGGTCACCATAAATGCCTCAGGGGAAACTGCCTCTTTGGGCTTCCCTGAATGTGGCAATGCTTGTAACTGGGCACGTCCCTTGTGGGGACCCTGGGAGCTATAGCTGTGGAACTCTTACAAGAGGTGTTGACCAAAGAAGACTCTGCTCACCTATATGGATCTTGTCTCCTTGCACCTGACCTGCTATTTGGGGGCCAGAGACTCAGTCATTCTACCATGTTGCTGGGAGGACTCCCACCAACGAGGCTGCCCGGTGCTGCCGTGTGGCAAGTGAGTCTCTGTCCTCCCTCCTTCTCAGTCAATCTGCTGCCAAGTTAGGCCTTTCCCAATCTTGTTTGGTTTGATTTAAGAAGACCCCCAGGTGGGGGCTGTGGTGGGAAAGCCAAGACTAGGGCCGCAGGAAGAAAGGGGCCTGCTTTGCTGGGAGGTTAGGAGGTCCCAGGGTGGGTCCCGTGGTGCCCCATGTCCCCAGCCCACCTGCTCGAAGCGCCAGCCATCAGACATGGTAGAGACCATCTGCGTGAGCTCTTCCTCCTGGCACTGCAGCACACGGTACACGTGCTTGGGTGGGACCTGCAGTAGAAGGGTCTCATGGTGTGAGAGCACTAGGCACTCCAGGAAGGGTACCAGCACCTGCCACCACCCCCCACAACCATATCCCTAGAGAAGGAGAGAGAAAACGGAGAGGAGGGTAGGAGGCTGGGTTGGAGGTGGGGGCAGGGGGAGCCATGTTCTGAGCATCTGCTATGTGCCAGGCACTTGACATGCATGATCTCACTTAGTCCTTCCAAGAACCCATTATGGGATTTTTCACTGAGGCTCAGAGAGGTTCAGTTACTTGCCCAAAGTCACCCAGCTCAAGTATGGCAGGGCCAGAACTGGAACACAGGTAATATAAGAGGAAAGGAGGGCAGGGTTTAGGGGACATTCTGGGTCACTACTTGAGTCAGGCCCTCCAGAAGACAAGGAGCCTACCCTCTTCAGTCTCCTGGGGCTGGGAGATGGTGCCTCAGTACCTGTCCCCCGACCCCCACGTCTTCCCCAGGGTGGTCAGGGAATCTCTCCGCCTCCTCGGGCAGACTGGTCACTGAGGCCCAGAGTCCAAACTCAGAAATGCCAGCCCCAGCAACTTGTGCTGTGCCCACTAGAGGACCAACTGATCCCATGAATGGACAATTAACTAATCCTGTATTTCCCCCTGAAGGGCTCCTCACCACCTGGGTACCTCCACACTGATCTCATTTTGCCTGTGAGGAAGGGATGGGTGGGCAGCTCTCAGCACCTCTATATTCCACAAGTGGAAATCAAGGTCCAGAAAGGGGCATGACTGGCCTGAGGTCACACAGCAAATGCAGCCAGGGCAAGGACAGAACCCAGCATCTGACTCACCCCTGAAGGGCTCCTCACTGCCTGGGTAAGGGATGGGTGGGCAGCTCTCAGCACCTCTATATTCCACAAGTGGAAATCAAGGTCCAGAAAGGGGCACGACTGGCCTGAGGTCACACAGCAAATGCAGCCAGGGCAAGGACAGAACCCAGCATCTGACTCCCAGTTTGGGGCTGTGCTGGGCAGTCGGGAGTCTGAAAACAACCCCTCCCCTTACAAGCCATCAGCCTCTCCAAGGAAAACACTCGTCCCCTCTCTCCCAACCTTCTCCTGCCTCCCTCCCTCTCCCCACCAGCCCCTGCTCTGGCCATGGATGCTGCCCTTCCCCCACCCCCCAGGCCCTGTCCCCGACCTGGGTGACTGTGTAGTCCTTCTCCTCCATCCGGTCTTTGATGATGCGGATTAGTGGGCCGATGTTGTAGAACTCAGCTTCCTCCAGGACCCCTGGCACAGGCAGAGCAGTCCCTGGGTCACTCCTACTATACCCACCCCCCATTCTCCCCTTGTCCCCTCCACCCCCAAACCCACCTCCTGCTGAGTGTCCATCTGTGAGTTCAGGGGTCAAGCAAGAGGGAGCGTTTCCTTCCTTGGGTCCCACACTCCCCATGGAAGGCGCTGAGATACTGCCACTCAGCCAGCCCTACATCTCCTCTGCTGTGCTAAGCATGGTGACCCAGGGACACCTGCCAGTCTGTAATCTGGGGCTGCTCTAGGGCTATCAGGAGACAGCAAGTTCCTTGGGACTGATCCCTGGAAAATCACTGTGAGGGGGGCCTTGGCTGATCCCTTACTCTGTGCTCCCATTTACCAAGCACGTGCTAAGCGCCAGGCACAGTGCTGAGCACATAACATTCTCTATGGCATTTTTTATTTCTTTTAATTATTTTATTATTTTTTTGTGGCTGGCCAGTAACAAACCCTGGACACCTCAGTGTTATCAACACCATGCTGTAACCATCTTTATGGCATTTAATTCTCAGAACTAGCAGTAGGTAGTTTCATCATCTCCATTGAACAACTGGGGAAACTAAGGCTCTGAAAGAGCAGCAGCTTGTCCAAGGTCACAGAGCCAGTAAGTGGCAGAGTAAACTCAAGCTCCTCAGACTTCAGAGCCCATGTTGTCCCACTATAAATGCATAATCTGTGTGTGCGCACCCCCCCAACTACCGCACTTGACAGTTTGCAAAGCCCCTCATGTGCTCATCACAAACCCTGGGGACATGAGGATTATTGTCCCCATTTTACAGTTAAAGTATCGGAGACTGAACAAGCCACCCACCAGTGAAGTGGAATGAGCGCCCAGGCGTTTGGACTCCCCTAAACTTCCGCAGGGCAGGGGACCTTCTGGTACTTTCCTTGACTGGCTTCTGGGCTCCTTGCGGAGAGGGCCTGTTATGGACTGTATGTTCGTGTCCCCCAAAATTCGCACATTGAAATCTAATTCCCAATGTGAAGGTATTAGGAGGGCAGGTGGGGCCTTTGGGAGATGATTAGGTCATGAAGATGGAGCCTCATGATGGGATTAGTGTCCTTATAAGAAGAGGCTAGAGAGCTAGATCCCTTTCCTTCTGCCATTTGAGGATACAACACGAAGTCTGCATTTTGCAATGTGGAGGAGGGCCCTCAAGAATCCGACCATGCTGGCACCCTGATCTCAGACTCTCAGCCTCCAGAACTGTAAGAAATGTCTGTTGTTTATAGGCCACCCAGTCTGTGGTACTTTGTTATAGCAGCCCAAGCTGACTAAGATAGGGTCTATTTCTGATCTACGCTGCTGTCCCTGGAACCTACACAGGACCTAACACAGAGTAGGCGGTCAGTGAGTGTTGCTGCCTGAGTGACGGAATTCTCCCCAGTGCCCTGGGTGGAGCCCTCAGATGACAGACAGCTTACATTGCAATGTGCATCCTCGGGGCCAGGCACTGAGCTAAATGCTGCACTAGTATTAGCTCCTTTTATCCTCGTGACAGCTCAGTGAGGTGGGTGCTACTGCCACCCCACTTCACAGATGGGGGCACAAAGGCACAGAGGGGTTAAATAACTTTCCCAATGTCACACAGCTAGTAAGTCTCCTCCCAAATCCCCCATCCCCCTGCATGGGTCCCTAGCTCTGTCTGAAGGTGCTGGGAGTAGCAGGGCTTTGAGAAACCTGGAACCTTTAAACAGCAGCTGTCTGTGATGCAGCTGGAGTGTTTACATCCCCACGCCATGGGACCTGCTCCTGGGCCAGCCACGCCCATGGTAACTGTGCTCCCCTAGGGCCTGCCAGGGAAGCTGTAGGGCTCTGCAGAGCCAGGTGCCTACTACCTATGTGGGCTCCAATGCTGAGGCCCTAGCCTCTTGGGGAGTCGCTTGGCCTCCAGACCACTGCATCCCATAGGAGTCAGGGGAGACCATGGCCCAGAGTGGGAGGGATGGGCTGTGTTAGATGCCCACAAGGGGCATGTGCTGTGCGTGGCACTCATGACATGCTCTCCAGAATGCAGATCACTGCCCCCATTTTATAGACACAAGTGGAGATGCAGAGATAAGTAACATGTCCGACCTGGCCTGGCTGGGTCAGCTGACCCAGAGTCACACCCTGCTCTCCAAGGAAGAGTTGAGTTGGCACTGACGGTAGTCCCTATCTCTGGCTGGGCCTCTGCTAAGCAGCCATTCTCCAGACACAGTTCCACAGTCTGCTAGTCCCAGATGTGGGCATCTATAGGGCTCAGCTCCCAGGCCTGCTGGGAGCAGAACCTGGCTGGGCCTCTGCTAAGCAGCCATTCTCCAGACACAGTTCCACACTGTCTGCTAGTCCCAGATGTGGGCATCTATAGGGCTCAGCTCCCAGGCCTGCTGGGAGCAGAACTCCCCCTCCATCTCCACCCACGACCAGCACTGTGCTACACAGGCTGGGCTGCCAGATTTGGGGAAGAGCCACCCCTCCGCCCACCTGCTGACTGTAAGTCCTCACCAGGTGGAATCTGAGATACTGGATTACTCAGAGGAAGAGAGCCGGAGCTCTTCCCATGCCTGTCTCACTCTGTCCCCTTGCCCCAGCCTCTGCGTGTGGCCGCCCGCACTTGGCTTCCCAGGAGGCTAGAGAGGAAGGTCATCCCTGTCCACAACAGAGGCTGCAGGGCCTCCCTGGCCTCCACTGTCCTCTGCATGTGTCTCTGTCACCTCCCCAACAGCACCAGGGAAAGCTCAGCCTATCAGCTTTGCAGAACCCCCAGACTCAGCCCAGGCAGAGGCTTTGGGAATCAGCCCTGTCTGAGATGGGAACGGCAGGAAAATGAGAGAAAGCAGATGTCTGTCCCAGCTGGGAGAAATGGCTCTGAGCCTCCCCAGAAGGCCTTGGAAGACTGGAGACACCGGGGCCAGGGTGTGAGCCCCAGGCCAGCTCCTGGACCAACTCACCCTCCTCAGCCATGTCCTTGTCCAGCACCAGCTTGCCATGCCGGAGAAAGTTCAGGATGGGCCCGAAGTAGGTGGGGTCACGGTCAATGAGGTAGGCCCCAGTTTCATCCTATAAAAGTGGGGAGCACAGGCAGTGAGAGAAGAGGGAAGCCTCCCCTACCCAGTCCCACACATGTACCCTCACTACAGGCCCGAGAAAGAACTGCAGGGAGGGAGGGTGCAGCATGATGGAGCAAAAAGACTCTGGGGTCAGATGGACCTGGGCTCACACCCTGCCTTTGCCTTTTCCTGACTGTGTGATCTTGGGCCAGTGATTTGGCCTCTCTGAGCCTCACTTCTCTCCCCCCATAACTGGGAGTCACTATGAGCATCAGTGAGAAAAGGTCTGAGTGCACTAGTCCGGTGTGGGGCTCAGCGAATGTCCCTCTTAGAGCTTGTTCCCCTGAAGGCAGCCCCACTGTCTCTACCAGATCCCTAGTGTTTTGGGGATATTTACAAGTTTCCAAAGGAGCGGCTATCTCATTGGGGTCCCGAAGCCTGCAGAGGCAAGGCAGCATTACTCTCTACAGAGAGAACGGAGACATCAAGAGGTCAGGGGATGTGCCCAAGGTCACAGCATTGGAGGGTCACGGGATGCAGGGCAAGGGACCTTAGAGGTCATCTCCAGACCAGCCCCTCAGGTTACAGATGAGGAGCCTGAGCCCAGAGCAGAGAAGGGTCCAACCCAAGGTCATGCAGGCAGTTTGCAGCCCAGCCAGCATGGGAGCCCAGCAATGGTGCCCGCTGGGCCAGCGCTCCTCCCAGATTAAGCCCAGCTCGGAAGGCACCCCAGGACGCCACCACCCAGCTCCCTGCAGTCCTCGGGCGGGGAGAAGCCGTGCTGTCCGGGAAGGCGGGAAGGCCTCCATGTCTCTCCGTCCCCACCGCCCCAAAGTAGGCAGAGAGTCCCTGATCCAGAGCCGCGCTCAAAAGCTCCAAACGGCCCCGGCCCGCGTTGTCCCGTTGCCACGGCAATCAGCGCATCCCTCACTGTCGCATCCTCTTCCTCCTCCCGTCCTCCCGCCAGGTCCTCCCGCCTCCGGCTCCTCGGACCTAGGCCCGGCGGGGTCCCCAGACCCTTAAGCGGGCGGACCGGGCCGGACAGCCCCGTGCGGGGCGAGCCGAGGCCCCCGCCCGGCCGCCGCGCTCCCCGCAGGCCTCACCCGGTCC